ATGAACCTTTTCCTGATATCGTAAACAATAATAAGTAGAGAAACTAATTTTGAAAATTTTGTTCCTCTACTTATTATTGTTTACATTATTAGATATACAACACTTTAATTTTTTCTTTAATTATTTTTTCTATCAAATGATTTTAATGTTTTTTTAATTGTTTATTTTAATTCTACCAATTACCGATAAATGTTGCAAGTAATGTTTTAATATTTGTGTACGGAACCCGCCATTGCAGTGCGAGTAAAACTCGCACTTATCCAATTTTTTTATTTTTAGATAAGAAATTAAAGGGAGAAAACAATCTCTCATTTATTCTCTTAAAATTTCACTCTTCCTTAAAATATTTAATGCCACGTGTTTTAACTAAAAAAAAATTTTTGAAAAATTTTTTTTTTGGAAACAAAAATTAAAAGAAAATTTTTTATCTTTTTAAAAAAGTTTCTTAAATAAATTTTTTGTCGTCAGACTGTAATAATACACTAGTATACCAATTTTCAGTTCATTAGGTCAAATAATGTAGAAGTTACTGAAAAACAATTTTTTTTCAAAAATTTTTTAGTTTTTCCTTGACAACGATATGGCCATCATTACATATCAAGTTCTCTATATTTTTCCTGTAATATTCGAGTAAAAATACACCAGCATGCAAAATTTCAGCTCTCCATGTCGAATAGTTCAGTAGTTTTTGGGGTGAATTTGGTAAAGTTTTAAAATGATTAATTGCTATCTGTTGATTCGCTACTTGGAATTTAGAAAATTTGATGTCAAATTTGTAATTAGTATCGAAATTTGTTAAACTTTTTTGTATACATCTTTTAAAGTTTCAAAATAATATAAATTAAAAATTTAACTCTAATTAGTTTTCAGTTTTGTCATAATAATTATATCTTTAAAAATTAATTGATTATTTGGCTCGTTAAAGAATACTTATAATCGAAAAAATATTTCCCCTATTTTTATTAATTGTTATTTATCATAAGTTTGTAATTATTTTTAAAATATAAGTGAAAGATATTACCGCGACTTTCATTTGAAATTTACTTTACTTAGAAAAGTTAATTTTTAAAAAATTTCCGATTTAATTCCCGCAGCTTTGTAAATTTTATGAATTGGAGGTTATGATTAATTATTTATATACGCGACGAAATAATTTAGTTCTCCTAATTTATCCATTATTCTATATAAATCGTGTTATAATTTCTCTGACGGGCAAATCAATCTAGTTTTTTTATTTCGACAGTTTTTTATAAATGTGCGATTCCATGGGAGATTTTAGTTTTTTCGGAGTAAGTAAACCAATTGCACCTAAATTTGCACGTAAAGTATCAGAAACTTCTAATGTTTACGCTCATAAGTGAACAAAAATATTTAAAATATTATATGAAGACAATCTCGTTTGCTAGGTATTTTTTTCGGAATCTTAAAGAAATCAAAGGTAAGATTATTTTAGTGTTTATTTCATTCAATTCCGTTAAGATATTCGAAAGTTATTCAATTATTATTTAATAACTTTTTTGTATATAAAAATTTTGTATAAACATAATATAAAAAACTTTTTCATTTTTTTATGCTGAATTTTCTCCAAAAAACATTAAGTGATTTGGTTAAGATGGAAAGAAGATATAACGATTTCAAAATTTTTCCAAAATTTTGACATCTCAAAAACTACTGAATATTTTGACGTAATATTTGGTGGAAATATGTGTAGATTTAAATTCCAAAATTTCAGTGCAATTGGTTTACTTACTCCGAAAAAACTAAAATCTCCCATGGAATCGCACATTTTGCATATTTTTCTTTTCCAACGGGCGAAATAAACTATTTTTCTTATTTCGCCCGTTTTTTTCTGCGTATATTCTTCAGACGGGAGAAATAAACTATTCTTCTTATTTCGCCCGTCACTATATTTTTGTGACGAGCAAAATAGACACTTCGTATTAAATAACTATTAAAATGAGTCCAAGAACGTTAAAAAATCTTAATTAGCTTCGGAGAAATTGAAAAATTAAGAAAAGCATGCAAAATCAATATCAGGTGTCATTTTTTTCATAATTTTATTAGCTTTTAGGAAAAAAATTGATAACTTTTATTCTTTTTCTTTTCTACGTTTAACGCTCTTTACACTATAATGAAAAAGGGATGTAACGTACCTTACCTTTAACATGATTCACGTCTGACATCCAAAAATAATTTCTATATTTTACATACACTTTAAATGTTAAAGGAAATATTTTTTAAATCACACCGGTTGTCACACGTTTTGTACACATAATAAACATACTTGCTGTACCATCTAGACACCTCTAAAGTAAGTATTTTCAACTATACATTTTACCAGACTTTGATAAAAAGAATTTCATCATCGAAAACAGCACAAACTATAGCATATTGGGTCAAACGCCGTTTGGGGAAATCTGCCGTTGTTCTACTATGGTAACTAAAAACTGCAGTTTTGAAGTGAACGGCAAAAACACGAACTAATTATATAAACTTGTTTTACGTCGATAAAGTAGAAGAATCGTCTGCTAGATGAACTGTGGAAATAATTTATTGTTGATTTTAAAGGTTAGTTTTCTATAGTTTTGCAAATAGATTTTGTTTAAAAAAATGGACTTGGATACAGCAAGTGATAATACGTCTTTAGACGATAAAACCGAAGATTTTTGTGACAATCCTACTAGAGATGCTCTGACTGAAGGTCTTATGAGTCTTTTGAAACCAACTGTCGATCAACTTGATGAAAGGATTCGAGCAACAAGGTGATAAATAATAGAAAAAACATTATTTAAGTTTAAGTTTTACACTGTCTGCTTTTATAAAACAAGTTTCTTTTAGAATTTATTTTTTCTAAAGTTATAAATTACAAAGTTAAAAATTATTATTGTTTTTAAAACAGAGTGTTTTTCATAAATTGCAACAAAAAGTAAAGTAATATTTCTTAAAGTTTATTTTTTATTATAAAATACTAACAAATGTTACCAGATATTCAATTTATTATTATTATTATTGATATTATGCAAATTATACAATTTTTTATTTTCTAATACAAATTTGTGAATAATTTCATAATCAGAATTAAAAAAAATTCATTTATTAAGTATATAATTAATTATTATTGTTTATATCTTCAAAAATTTTAATTCATCGCAAGAATTCAATTGTTTTAATAAATAGTAAACTTTTTCGCAAAAATTCAATTATTTTCAAGAAAATTTTAATAAAATTTCACGAAAGAATTCAATTTTTTTTCTTTCACTTTAAAAATTTCCAAAAGAATTCAATTATTTTCTAAAATTATATAACAAGTCCTTCGAAACAATTCAATTATTTTTATAAATAGTAAAATTACTTCGAAGAATTTTATTATTAAGGAAAATAATTAAATTCTTTTTGAAGAATTTCATAAATTTTTTTAAAATAATTAATAGTTTTATTTAAAATTTTTTAAATAATTGAATTTTATGAACAATTTCTTTCAAATTTTTAAAATAATCGTATTTGTCAATAATTGAAATTTAACATTTAATAACTATTGAATTTTATTAAAATTTTAGAAAATAATTGAATTCCTTCATGAAATTTTATTAAATTTTTTGTAATTCTTGTAATGAATACAATTTATACAAATAATTCGATTGCTTCGAAGGATTTATTAAAATTTTATAAAATATTTGAATTTTTTCGAAAGATATTGTTGAAAATTGAAAAGAAGAATTGGATTCTTTCATGAATTTTTTTTGAAAATAATTAAATTTTTGCAAAGATTTTACTTTTTAAAAAAATAATTAAATTGTTTTTAAGGATTTATTAAAATTTTAGTAAATAATTGCATTCGTTCGTGGAATGTTTTTAAAATTTTGTTTAAAAATAATTGAATTTTTGCAAAAAGTTTTACTATTTATATAAAAATAATTGAATTCTTACGAAGAATGTTATTATTTTTGAAAATAATTGAATTCCTCATGTCGTTTAAACAAGAAATTGAATTTTTAATAAAAAATTGAATACGAATTTATTTTCAATAATAAGTAGCTACAATAAACATAAATTTTGAATTGAACAAAAATATCGAACAATTTTTATTTACTTATTTATTTAATGAATTCGAATAATAATAATTATAGTATTTTAGCTTTTACAAAATATCTGCAATGAATAAAAAATAATATTATATTCAACTTACACGGAAAAAATAAGTCGCGGAAATTTTCCTCGACTTTGTTAAAGACTCTCGGATTTAGTGGAAAGTGTTTTAAAAATCATATTCACAGTTTTTGAAGAAATAGACTACATTTGAAGAAACTTTCCGCGACTGTCGAAGAAAATGAAGACTCCACGCGCATGTAACCGATTCCGCCACAGTCGCGGAAAATTACAAACCTGAATTTACTCTACAGCGTTCTAATTTTTAATTGACAGTCGCGGAAATTATTTAGAATTTTTTAATGTATATATTAATATCGACACATTGAATAATAAAAATAATAATAATCTTGACAATCAATTGTCATAAATTGTTTAAAAAAATGTTAAAAAAACATTGTTTATTGGTTTTAACGCGCGCAACTTTTGTGCGCACCATTTTCCGCGACTCGTCGACGAAACCTTCTACGAAGTGTTAGAATAATTCCAAGACTGTTTTCCGCTACTAGGTTTCTAGAAAGTCCTCGACTTTTTTTGGAGAATTTCTGCTAAAATCGTAGAACATTTCTAAAAGTCTATAAAAGATTCGTTCATATCCGAGAGTCTTCGATTAGTCGCTGAAAATTTCTGCGACTATTTTTTCCGTGTATCCAAATAATAATCTTTTTTAGAATAAGTCAGATTGAATTGAAGCAACAAATTGACTCACTGAATGAAGAATTACTGAAAGTAGCCGAGTGTCTTCAACAACCACTGGAACTTGATTCGTATGTTAAAAAACTTGTTAATGCAAAACAGAAAGTGACAATAGTGAGTAACATTTTGCAAACGACTCAGGAACGTTTAAATAAAATTCACCAGGCTATTGATAAAGAATCTGCCAAGAAACGAGCTTCACTTGATAGTAGTTCCTCTTTTAAAACTGAAGCAACTCCAACTTTGTAAAGAACACAGAATCTGAAAAGTCTGTTAGTACTCAACGGTAAAACGAAGGTTTGTTTTTTAATTATAAAAAAAATCTTCTTTGTAAATAAATAATCATTGATTACTTTGTACAAGATAATGCTTTCAACTTTATATAAATTCTTCAGAAATTGTACGAATTTTGACGAGGGATTTGTATAACTTTTGTTTAAAAATATTAAGATTTACGCCACTGACGTAGCATTTTTGAAAACGATTTCCTAAAAAAGACCTGATTTGAGGTGAACATCATCATTAATTAACCCCTTGACTGTGGATGACGTGTATACACGTCATGAAAAAAACTGGCCCAAACAGTGGATGACGTGTATACACGTCATGGCCCAAACAAGAAAACATCTTAACGTATATTCGCAAAAATTCTTACTCGGGGGTTTTTGGGGTCGCTGATCACGATTCTGAAGTCATATTTTTAAAATACAAAATTTTTCATCCAAAATGGCCGCCAAAATTTTAAAAATTTTAAAAGTGGATAAATTCTTTTAAAAATTGTTACTTGAGGGATTTGGGGTTGCTGATCACGATTCTGCAGTCATATTTTTAAAATACATAATTTTTCATCCAAAATGGCCGCTAAAAATTTTAAAAAATTTTAAAAGTGGATACATTCTTTTAAAAATTCTTACTCGGGAGTTTTTGGGGTCGCTAATCACAATTCTGAAATAATATTTTCAAAATAAATAATTTTTTATACAAAATGGCCGCCAAAGATTTTGAAAAATTTCAAAAGTGGATAAATTCTTTTAAAAATTCTTACCATTTAAACTTTGAAAAACTAATAACAGATTCGTAATCAGCGACCCCAAAAACCCCCGAATAACGAATTTTAAGCGTATCCAATAAATTTTTCAAAATCTTGACCGCTATTTTGGATCCGCCTTTTTGAATTTTAAAAAAAGGAATGTCAGATTCGTAATCAGCGACCACGAAAACCCACGAGTAACGAATTTTAAGCGAATCCAATGAATTTTTCAAAATCGTGTCCGCCATATTGGATTCGCCATTTTGAATTTTTGAAAACTAACACCGGAATCGTAATCAGCGACCCCAAAAACCTCTTAGTACCTAGTGTCATGAAAATTTATTCACAAGAAGGTCTTACACATTTTGGGACCATATTTTGTTATATTTTAGCTACACACTGAAGGGGTTAACACATTATCGGAAGTTCAAAAATGAAGTGAATTTGGTTAGAAGAATAATTTTGCCTGACCCCAACGTTTTTGTTTTGTTTATTTTTTTATTTTTTCCCAAGATACAGACACAAAATGGCGTATTTTTTGAGTGAAAATAGAGTTTTTGCTTCATTTAGTCGCTAAAAATTAAAAAAAAATTAAATAAAAAACGTTGGGGTCGGTCAAAATTATTCTTCTAACCAAATTCACATCATGTTTTGACTTCCAATAATGTGTTAATTAATGATGATGAAAATTTCTCGTAAATTCGAACTTTCGTCAATTGACTTCATTTAATATTTATCAATTTTTAAAATCAGAAATCCTTGGAAATGGAGACTCCTATTGTAAAACTATCAGACGAGGATAGAGAAACTGTTTACGAACCTTCGGAAGACTCGTTTCTCCTTATAGATGCACTGGAAAGTGATTTGCAATCTATAGACGCTAGAATGCCAGGAATTGGTTTGGAAATTGGAAGCGGATCTGGAGTGGTCATTACTGCACTTGCCATGGCTCTTGGCTCACGATTTCCATCGTATTTTTTAGCCACCGACATAAATCCGAACGCTTGTAAAGTCACGAAAAAAACCAGTGTCACAAATTCAACGAAAGTCGAAGTTATTCAAATGGATTTAGCAACAAATTTCCTTCCTTTGAAGTATTTTGATTTAATAGTCTTCAATCCGCCGTACGTTGTCACCGAAGCGCTTGAAGTCTTTGACGAAAAATTAATTTCTAAAACCTGGGCCGGCGGACTCGAAGGTAGACAAGTAATGAAACGAATATTTCCACACATTCCGAATTTATTGTCAGAGAATGGAATCTTCTATTTACTGATAATTAAAGAAAATAATCCAGAATATATTATGGAATATTTTAAACAGTTCAATATGATTGGCTCGATGATCGCTGAAAGAAAAATTAGGGGTGAGCATTTATATGTATTAAAATTCGTCAGGCATCATGACCAATAATGTATTTAAAAGTGTAAAATATGTTACAAAAAATGTAAATACTCGTTTTTGTATATAAATATATATTGAAAAGTTTTAATTATAAAAAAATCTTCATTAGAATTATTAGAAAATTTTAATGGTAAGAAATTTAAAAAATGGCTATTAATTGAAAATACAGGGTTGCCGCGCAACCTGAAAAACCTGGTCAACCTGGAAAAGTCAGGGAATTTTGATCAGAATCCTGGAAAATTGTTGTTTTCTAAAAGTTATTGCAAACACAATTTTCATAAAATTTTTCGAAAAAAATCAATTATTTAAAATGATTTTTATAAAATTCTTCGCTAAAATTCAATTATTTAAAAAAAATTTAATAAAGTTCTTCGTAAGAATTCAATTATTTTTGAAAATTTTTATAAAATTCGTTGCAAGAATTCAATTATTTTTAACAATTTTCATAAAATTCTTCGAATCAATTTAATTACCTATTTTAAAACATTTAATTATAAAATTCTCAAAAAAAATTTCAATTATTTTCAAAAATTTTCCTCAATTCAATGATTTTCAACATTTACTATTTTTATAAAATTTTTCTAAAGAATTCAATTACTTAAAAAAATTTTAATGAAATTCTGCGCAAACATTTAATTATATTCATAAAATACTTAAAATTTCACAAGGAATTTCAATTATTTACAAATTTTTCATAAAATTCTTTCCAAATTCGATTATTATCAAATTTTTTATAAAATTCTTTATAAATTCAATTATTATCAAATTTTTTCATAAAATTCTTTGCAAGAAAGCAATAATAATGCAAATTTTTTATAAACTTTTTCGCAATAATTCAATTATTTTCAAAAAACAATATAAACAATATAAAGTTCTTCTTAAGAATTCAATTATTTTTGAAAATTTTAATAAAATTCGTTGCAAGAATTCAATTATTTTAAAAAATTTTTCTAAAATTCTCGACAAAAATTTCAATTATTTTCAAAAATTTTCTTCAATTCAATGATTTTTAATATCTAGTATTTTAATAAAATTTTTGAAAAGAATTCAATTTATTTAAAAAAAAATGTCAATGAAATTCTGCGCAAACATTTAATTATACCTAATTCATAAAATAATTAAAATTTCGCAAGGAATTTCAATTATTTGCAAATTTTTTATAAATTTCTTCTTAATAATTTCATTATTTTCATAAATAATAAAACTCATCATAGAATATATCAATTATTTTAAATTCAATTTTGATAGAATTTCTCGAAAAATGTAATTATTCTTAAAAATTTGATTACAATTTGTCATTAAGAATTGAGTTATTTACAAATTTGTTGATAAAATTCTTTATGAGAATTCAATTTAATGAAACATTTAATTATTCAATAAGTAATTAATTTTTGTACATAAATAATTGAATTCTAGTTGAATTTTCTAATAAAAATTGATTTAAAAATAAATTTCAGTTACAATTTTATAGATAATAATTTAATATTAAAAGCATTAGAAGCATGAATTTTTAGAAATAATTGAGTTCTGAAAAGGTTTCATATTAAAATTTTTGAAAATAAAAATTTTAACTAACAATTCTGTGAAATTAATTTTTTTCAAAAGGTTTAATTAAATTTTTTTTAAATTTTTTGAAGTTGTTATTTTTTAATATATTTAATTGAAGAATTTTCGAATAATTGAAATTTCGTAAAATTTTTTCGAGAATTATTTAAAAAAATTATTTAAAGAAGAATTTTAGTTAAAGTTCTAGAAAATAATAATTGAATTGAAATGTTGAAAATAATTTTGAAGAAGTTGCAGTAACAAAATTCTTCTAATATGAAATAATGATTTTATCAATTTGCCATCTTTAATTCTTATACAACATGAAGAAAGCGATTACTCCGAGTCGAAGACTCGGAGTGATCCATATCTTCATGTTTTATAGTTAAAAAAATTTAATTTCTAGTTTTAAGTAAAGTGTTAACCTGGAAAAATTTCGTTTTTTTTTGAAAAACCTGGAAAAATCAGGGAATTTCAAATAAGCAAAAGCGTGGCAACCCTGCTGATAAGAAATTACGTGTAAAAAAAAATGGTTACAAATTGAAAATAAAAGCAGATATACAAATTGTACAGAAATTTTATTTCTCTAAATTATAATAATATTTTGCTAAAAGTTGCGACTTAGATATGTCACAGATACTTACAGGCAAAAAAATACTGTTGTAAAAATTGTTAAAATACTTAGAAAAAAGCACTAAAATGTTTATAAATAACTTTAATCGCTAAATTGCAATTTTTTACAGTTTCTGTGAAGACTTTATAATTATTATTGAAACAATTAATATCAAATTTGTTATTAAAACACATCGGTTTATGAACAGCTCAGCTCATAAAAAACTTATGGCAGTGAGTCCTCTATATAATTATATAATCAAGCATTTAAATCGTCAAGCTTGCAAAGTCTTAGTTGCGACTTTTTCAATTAGGCAACAACACTTTTATTGATGTATAGAACAAAGCTAATTTAACTCCACCATTTAAAATCCTCATTCGGAAAAAAAAATTTTTTTCTTTATAAATATGTTATATATTGCAAACTATATTATTTTCCTTTAGAACACAGGATTGAAATGTGTGGATTTAAAAATAATATTTCTTCGCTAAATAAACGTTGGTTTATGAAAAATAAAAGAATTCGCTTTTAAAAATCTTTTGCTCTCAGTTTCTCAAGTCTTAAGATCCCATTGTGTATACTTTTGATTTGTAAACTTTTTGTAATTTTGAGTACAAAACGGCAGCGCTTATTGTACTGGAGACAACGGCGGTGAACATCATGGAAAATGCGACGTAAAATCCACTATTACTTAAACAGACATTATTAGGCGAGGCAATTTCCTGTACGATTTCTTCGTTGACGTTGTCCAAGGCATGATTTGCCATTGGGCTTAAGTCGTCTGGCATGACAACTCTGAATCCACGACCAACTCTCACGCCACTTGGTGCCAGACTGATGGTTGAATTTACTGGGGAAATATATTCAATGGAACGACGACGTCTTCCGGGATCAATTTGCTGAAAATGGTAATTCAATTATTTATACAAATTCAATCTTATGTTTTTAATAATAACTATTAAATTTAAAAATAAGTTTTAATTTAAAATATTAGTTTTTAACATCCCTGAAATTACCAAAACTATTTTTACTTTTTTCATTCTCCTTGACAGTTAAATAATTAAATTTAAGACACTTTTTAAACCTGAAACCATAAAAAAATTATTCTGTTTTTATAATTTTGCTACAAAAATATTTTTTCGACGCTAACTTCAGGGATCCAGTTTTTAGTTAATCAGCAATTTTCAAATAATAAAAAAATTTGTTAGCCAAGACTCAGGAAAATTTTAAAAATAATCAGGGTTTGCCACAGGTCAGAGAATACAGGGAATTTCAAGAACTATCATAAAATTATTACTTATAAATTATTTAATGAATAATTTTACTTAATTATTTCCAAATTAATTGAATTTTTAAAGAGGTACGTTTACAATTTTCATAAATAAGTTAACTTGAGGAAAAATTAATTTGAAATTCTAGAAAATTTCAATTTTAAATGAATTTAATAGAAAAATTTAAAGAACTTAGATTTTTGAAATATTTTAATAATCCACATTCTTCTGAAATTAATGTTATTTAATTTTTCAATATAAATTTCATTAATTATTAAAAATTATGGATTTATATAAGAACTTTAGTTAGAAACACTAAAAAAAATGAATAACTAGGAATTTTTAACAAATCCTTTTCAAAAAATCTCATTCAGAGCAGAATTAAATTTTTGCCCTAATGTTTAATTAAAAGACAAAGCAAGTGTTATGGTGAAAAAGTCCTTTTTATCAGACTTAAAATGAAAAAAAAATCATTGAATTTGGACCAAAAATAACATAGTTGCAAGTTATTTTATTCATAAGTAGTATAGCTAGGCCGGTTCTACGTCAATTCGTCCGGTAAAAAGAAATCTGCATTATCGACAATGGGAATTTAATTATAAGTTACACGTTCCTGCCGCTAGCTGGCGCGGCAGCAGGATCGTGTAACTTACCACGGTCGGTAATGCAGATTTCTTTATACCGACCGAATTGACGTAGAACCGGCCTAGCTATATACTACATTAACTTTAAAAACGTTTTTTTTTTGCTCTTAAATGAAATTTTAGTTGTGTTCGAGTAATTTAATATATATCATCTTTATTTAGTTTTTCGAGACGAACAAGTTGGGACTGAAGATAGGTCCGATTTGAAGTAATTTTTTTTTTTTTTTTATTAATTATCACTACCCCAGTAGCACGTAATATTACAGGAATATTGAGAACACTGCCTTAACATTACCAATATTGCCTCAATGTTGTTAATGTTACTAAAACATTACGTGCTACTGGGGTATGTAGTAAATTGACTATATTATTGTTAAACTATATGTGAAAGATAAGATTTTTTTTGAAAAAATTGGTAAATTTTTTAATGAGTAAAAATATTTCAAATTTGATTAATTAATAAAAGATAATATTTGTTTAAAATAAACCATTATTTTTAAGTTCGCCATAATCAAGTTGTTTACGTTTTTTTTATAATTTCTGGTGTATAATATTAAATAGTTTTTGAACAAAAACGTTTTTAAAAAAAGTGAAAAATTTAATGTTACAAAGAAATATTGTGAATGACGACCATCTTTTGATTAATGATGAAATCTGAAGAAATAATATTATGGTCAATCAATTTAAAAAGCTTTTCATTTTTTTTATATTTCTTAAAAATGTAGCTGCAGCACAGGCAAAAGTTGTAAATAAAATTGTAAATTTTACCTGATTTGGTTCGGGACAAGCGTCACAGTTAGTTTTGCAAAGCTCAACATTACATTCAATGAACAGGTCCATTACATCTGGAAATTTAAAAGCTTGGAAAAAGGCGTAGGCAATAATTGAAGCTCCTGTATTTCCTGTGTCCTTCGTTTTTTGGAACGCTCCAAAGATTTTCGGTTTTAAGATGCAACCTCTTTCATCGGTCAGTTGAACAACGTTCGTAGATGATTCGTCTCTAGCCACACAATCTCGTACCTAATATTTAAAAAATTACAAATCTTAGAAGCAGCATTGTTTTAAGATTTTTACGATGATGTATAATCAATTAAATAAGAGAATTGATAAATTTCAATTTAGTAAAAAGATGTTTATTTTTGCGAACCTGAAGGTCAAAGTCGGGATCGCCCTCGACAGAAATAACAAGAGTCATGGTTTCGCCAATCTTCACGAGACCGTTTGCAGCCGGAGCAAATGGACCTTTTCCAATTTGGATATCCAATTTGGCTGAAGCAGTGTCACCACTGAACGTCACAATTTCTTGATTCAGCATATCAACTGAGAGACTGACAGTGAGAGCTTTATTAATGTTTCCTTCCCATAGACAACGGACTCTTCGGACTGTGTCCCAAACTTCTTGAATTCCGGCCTCATTCTAAAATTTTTGTATTGTTTATTATAAAATTTTGAGTTAACGAGACTAATATTAAGGGAAAGATATTTTTTAATATTTTTATATTAAGGGTAATAGAATTAAAGTGAATGTACATTTTGAAAAAGTATTGGATTAATTAAACTGACTTATTGAAATACCGGAATAAGTAATCTATTAAATATTGGATATTTCAGTTCTGAATTTACAAATTATGCTAATGTCTTTTTCTACTTTATAATAATGTTTTAAATTAGTTAGCAAATTAACATAAGTACAGAAACCACCTAATGGGAGTCTTACTAATAAGAGATTTATGCTAAGTACAAGCAAGTAAAATAATTCTTAATTTTATGTCTAACTTAAATCTGTTTGTCAGTTCTTGAGGTTTAAATTTTTAAAATCTTTTGGTCTAAAATACTATTATAAATTGAATGCATTTACAAAATATCTCTAGGATATCTAATAATATATACTCCAAGCAAGTAAAAATTTTTCACATTGACTCTGAGTTGATAATGACTATGATAACTCTGACTGAATTGATGTAAATATCTAGGATGACCAATTTTTTCGCGTTTTTTTGTAATATTTTAATAATCCTTTAGTGAATAGATACTGATTTTCGTTTCGATAATTTCAGTAATTTGTGTGGTTTTGTCATATTACCTGCAATACTAGGACATTTTCCAAATAAGCCTGACCCGCCTCTCCTTCAAAGTCGTTAATGAATTGCGTTCCGCAGGAGTCGAGACTCACTGTGAATGAATACTTTGTATTTTTTGAATTGGCTTCCACGTATCGGCAGTTGGGCATCATGTAGAAACCCTAGATAACGAAAATATCAGTTTTAATAAAAGAACAATTTTTTTACATCCTATAATTTTATTAATAAAATTACACTTTCACTTTAAATTATAAAAAACTTTAGTGAATGTTTTAAAAATGAATTAACTTTTGCAGGTAATAATAAAGGCGTGTTAAGTAGTTAAAAAATTAAAAATCAATTGAAAACTTTAAATTAAAAATTTAAAAACTTTTATCCTTTGAGAAGGTATACTTATTATATTTTTTTACCTTTGAGTATATTATTCCATCATAGGCTCGATTAAACTCAATGTTTATAGTCATCATACTTTTGCTGCACACGACATCAAGAGCATGGATATGTGGTGGATGATTTATATCATCATCTGGTGGAACGCCCGTTCCAATATCACCTATAATAAAAAGAATTTTGTAAGGGTAAGTCTGGGGGAGATGTTCATTGTTTTTTTTAAAGTACCAACTGTAAAAATTATAAAAAAGCGATTTTTGTATAAACTTTTATTGATAATTAAACAAAATGACTACTGAACTTTAAAGTAACAAAAATAAAATATTTTCCGTAAAGAATGTCTGTAAGTATTCCACATTCTATATTTTTGTAGAGCTTTCGATAACTTTTAAAAAACTCTTAAACTGTTACCAAATCCAATTGGAGTTGGTTACAGTTTTTTTTATACTTTTTAATATTTCCTATATTTATTTCCTATATTTAAAAAAAAATTTTTATTAATTTTACACGAAAAAAAAATCTTTAGCTGATAAAAAACTGTTAAACTGTTACTAAATCCAATTGAAGTTGGTAACAGTTTTTATACTTTTAATATTATTTCCTTATTATTATATTTTTTTAATTTAAAATTTTGTTTAATACTTTTACACAGAAAAACATCCTGATAAAAAACTGTTAAACTGTTACCCAGTTTGAATTCTCGCAAAAAATATTATTTGTAAAAAGAATCAAATTCTTCCAAAGAATTTTATTAAAAATTTTTTTAAATAATTGAAATTTTTCGTTAAATTTTATTAAAATTGTTTTGAAAATAATTGAATTCTTGCGATGAATTTTACTGAACTTATAAAAATAATTGAATTCTTCAAAGAATGTTTCATTAAAATTTTTGAAAATAACTTAATTCTTAACAAGAACTTTATTCAAAATTTTTTTTCAAATAATTTAATTCTTGCGAAAATGAATAGGTAGTCAATTATGTAGCTAATAAGTAAATTTTTTAAATTTCGAATCTGAAATTATTTAAAAATTCGTATTTATATTTGAAAATATAAAATTTTGTAACTTGCAAAATAATAAATGGAACAGTAACATTTATACTGTAGTAATTAATCATTATTACATTTATTATTATAATCATAAGAATGTAAAGAATAAAAATTATAATTTATTTTAAAAAAATGGTTTGTTTATATTATTTAAATATTTATAAATATTTTCATTATTACTTGATATAAATATATACACAGCATTCGCAAAATCTTCAAGTTTTTACGATATTTCTTCAAATTCTTCAAATATGTCTCAGATTGCTTTAATTTTTTCAGATTTGATGAAAAATCTTCTAACCAAGTACCTATAGCACTGTTTTGAAGTGGGTCATAATATATTATGGTGACAATATTCGAATAAAATACGTGAGGGAGGAATTTATCCATACTTATACTTCTTTTGTTAATAAATGAAAATTAAAAAAATTAATTAATATGTTTTACCTCCTCCAGGAGAAGTACCAGGTCCTGGTTGTGGTCTTGGTCCCGGTTGTGGACCAGGTCCAGGTTGAGGTTTTGGTCCTGGCTGAGGTCTAGGTCCCGGTTGTGGTCCAGGTCCTGGTTGGGGTCCTGGACCAGGTTGAGGCCCAGGTCCTGGTTGTGGTCCTGGTCCCGGTTGGGGTCGAGGCCCTGGTTGTGGTCCCGGTCCGGGCGCTGGACCAGGTCCTGGTCGTGGCCCTGGTCCCGGTTGCGGTCCCGGTCCTGGCGCTGGACCAGGTCCTGGTTGGGGTCGTGGCGATGGGAAACCGGGCATTGGCCTTGGCTCTCCCGAGGGATATCCTCCATTTGGAGGTGGAAGATAAGTCGTGGATGAAGCCGGATATCCGTTCGAGTCGGAGAATGGTGGCGATGGACGGGGAGTGTACGGATAGCCATTAGTTTGCGTGTTTGGCGTGTAGGAAGGCCTTGAAGTGGAAACTGGGGAGGAAGAGTATCCATTGTTCGATGGCGTGTATTGGCCACCAGCAGAATAAGGTGGTTGTTGCGATGTCGCAGGTTGAAAAGGTCGCGGCTTTTCCGGCGGCCTTTGCGTACTGTAAGGTGGTAAATAGGTATTGTCCGACTGCTGACGCGCTGAAACAAATTCAATTCCAAATTTTAGATTTCTTTTCATTTCATTAAATTAATTACATTTTTCACAAAGAATTCGGAATGGTCCATACATTACGTAACACTTTTTGGAGGGAGGGAGGGGGGTGGTCCAGCTATTTGTTACGATAAGCAAAAAAAATACATACATTATAATGTATGTAACAGTGTGGGTGGGGGGTCAACATTTTCAAAAATTATCGTTACGTAATATATGGATGGCCCCTTCTAAGTAATAGTTTTTTACCTTTTCGGACACTTTGAGTCTGGTAAATATTTTGAATCCACTCTAAAATATTTCTGGCCATTATATCAGCCGCTGAATCAGCAGTATCTCGTATTTTTCTAGATTGAACTGATAATATTTTTATTTTAGTTTAAAGGTTTATGTAAATATATTTACTATTTAAAAATTATTCATTATTCTTGTTATCAAATTACCTGCACTTGAGCTAATGGACGAGGCATGATTATTTTTCGAAGCAGCCGCTAAACTAGAAATCACAATTAGAATCCCCACAATAAGTTTCATTGTGGCCCTGAAACAAAATTTTATTTCTGTTATGTTCTTTCTAAAGTTTTTTACTTTTTATTCCTAAAAATTGTAAAATATTAAAATCAATGTTATATTAACAAAAAAAAATTTTTTACCAGTAATTATCTATTTTTAATAATTCTTAAAAAAGTTTCTAGAGAATTTTCAAATCCATCTGGTCACAATTCAATTTTACGAAATTTCGATTATTCGGAAATTCTCCAATTAAAAATATATTAGAAAATAAAAACTTGAAATAATTTCTAAAAAAATTCAATTAAACTATTCCCAAAAAATTATTTTTTCAGATATGTTAGTTAAAAGTATGAAAAATTCGGATTATCAAACATTTTAATTTGAAATCTTTTTAAAATTTAATTATTCCTAAAAATTCACGCTGTAATGCTTTTAATATTTATTTATTTTAATTATAAACGGGACGTGCTAAAATTTTTATCTACAATTTTAACCGAAATTCACTTTGAAATTAAATTTTTATTAGGGGAATGTAGTCAAGGTTGGCCTACTGTCTAGGTAGGCCACTCGCGTTTTTTTGTCAAGTTCACTAGCGCCACCTACGCGCATTTTTGTCGAAGCTTGTCTTAGTGAAACCTAACTTTTTGTTCAATTACATTTTCGGAAAATCGAAAATTGTGTTTTCTGTGACGTCGGTACAAAAAAAGCTCAAAAAAAGTTTTGTGCATAATGTGAAAAACCATTAATAAAAGATAAAAAACAAATTGAATCGTCAAGGCAAGTATGCAGAAAATTTGTCGGACTCATGGTTGAAAGGAAAACAAAGTAAAAAATCGAATCCCGAAACGTATTTCTTTATGGTTACAACAATTCGGTAATGTTACTTACTGTCAAGGTCGGCCACTATGTGTTTAAAATGCGCAAAGTTGAGGACGAGCTACTTCATTTGCAAAAACTGCAATTCTGTATAACTCATAATATAATTGATCATCTTATTAATATTTTTATTCAATTTTATTAATATTTTAGTGCAAAATTTTTTTTTATTTATATTTATTTTTTTATATTGTTTATTGTTATTATTTTGTTATTTCATTAAGTTACAAACTGTAAACAATAAAGAATCAATTTTCCGTAACTCCAAACATGTTATTTTATTTTTTAACGATTAATGCCCTTTGAATTTTAAACATGGCCGACCTTGACTGTAATGGCCAACCTGGACTACAAATTTTTTTTTTTTTAAATCTTTATAACTTTTTCATTTTTAAACCTGTCAATTTACTTTGTACAGAAAAAATGTTCCTATTAAACAGGACTTTCCAACCATATACTTCAATTGTCCAAATTCATTTTTAAAAAAAAGTTATAAACAAAAGTCAAAAAGGTGGCCGACCTAGACTATGTTCCCCTACAAAATTCTACGAGAATTCAATTATTTAAATAGATACAAAAATAAATAATTTATTTAATAGTTGAATATTTCTTGAAATTGAATTTTAATGAAGAATTTAATTAGTAACTTAAATAAATAATTTTTGTTGAGGAAATTAATTAAAATTTTACTGAAATTTATTGAACTAAAAAATTTTATCACAAATTTTTGAAAATAATTGAAAACTTTTGAAGAGTTTTATTACAATTTTTAAAAATAAGTGCATTGCATTTATGCGAAGAATTTACTTAAATTTTGTTTAAATAATTGAAATTTTTACAAGAGTTTTATTAAAATTTTTGAAAATAATTAATTTTCTGCGACGAATTAAAAGTTATTTATGAAAATAATTGAATTATTGCAACAAATTTGATTGAATAATTGAATTTTTCTTAAAATTGAATTATTTCGTTGAGTTTTAATAAAATTTTTAAGAATAATTGCATTTTTTGATGAATTTATTTAAAATAGTATTAAAAATATTTGAAATTCTGCGATGAAAATAATTGGATTCATAAAAGAAATATTATTGAAAATAATTGAATGTTTTCGTAGAATTGTATATCAACATATTTTATTCAATGTTTAAATTTTGTGATAAATTTTATTGAAAATCATTGAATTTTCGAAAAACTTTTGAAAATAATTGAAATTTTGCAAAGAATTTTATTAAAATTTTTAAAAATAATTGAATGTCTGGCGGCATTTTATTAAATTTTATTAAAATAATTGCATTCCTAAAAAGAATTTTATTATTTATCAAAATAATTGAATATTCTTGCAAACGATTTTATTAAAATTTTCTAAAATAATTGAATTTCCAAGAAGAGATTTATTAGTTTTAAAAATAATTGAATTTTGCAAAGAATTTTATTAAACTGCCTCAAAATAATTTAATTTTCGGAATAATTTTATTATTTACCGATATAATTGAATTCTTCCGAGGAATTATTGATGTAAATAATTGAATTCTTGAGAGGAATTTTATTAAAATCTAAAAGAATAATGGAATAAACAATTTTAATTAAATTTATTTGAAATAATTATTTTTAAAAAATGTAATTAAAATATTGGAAAATAATTGAATTCTTGTTAAATATTCTAATATTTTTGTAAATAATTGAATTCTTCCAAAGAATTTAAAAAAAAACATTTTTTTAAATAATTAATTTTTTTAACGAATTTTAATAAAAAAATTTTAAGAATAATTACATTTTTTAAAATTTCCTGTAAATTTGTATCAAAAATAATTGAAATCCTGCGATGAATTTTATTATTTATAAAAATAATTGAATAGTTGCAAAGAATTTTATTAAAATTTTCAAAAATAATTGAATTCCTACTGAGTATAGAATTTTATTATTTATGGAAAAATACAAATTCTTTCGAACGATTTTGTTAAAATGTTTAAAATGAATTGAATTTCTATGAAAAATTTTGTTATTTTTGAAAATAATTAAATTCTTTATAAGAATTTTATAAACATTTTTTTAAATTATTATTTTTTTTGAATATGGGTAATAAATATTATAAAAATTTTATTTTAAATAATTGAATTCTTGATAGAATTTTATCAGACATTTAAAAAAAATTGAATTCCTAAAAATAATTGAATTTCAGTGATAACAGTGAATTTTCAGTTTGTTGTTTATGAAAATAATTGCTTTAAAACTTTTGAAATAATAAAATAATATTAAAAAATTCATTCTTGTAAGAAATAGAAAAAAATTTAAGGTTTTGAATTAGAATTCCTGGTAACTTCATAATTTATGAGCGACAAACTAAAAAGACACCAAAATTTAGAATTTTTTTTTTTAATTCTTAAAATTTAATTTTTTTCTAGGACTTTTAATAAAAATCCCTGAATTTTCCCTGATTTCCCCGACCTGTGTCAACTTTGAAAAATTATTCTATAATATTGAAAAACAAGCAATTAGTACCTAATATATGTATTAAGTTTCTTTTATGTCGCATTTAAAAGACACCATGTAATAATTAAAATGATATGAATAATTAATTAACTGCATAATTTAATTCTTGTTACAAGCGAATGAAGTAGTAGAAAGAGAAGATATTTGAATAGTCTTGAATGAAAATAAATTGTCATCTTCTCTTGTCGCTTTCATCCTGGGGTCTAAAAAAATATATCTCCATTCAACTACGCGACTTTCCCGATGAATTACTGTCGGTTGTTTTTGCCAACCCTGGAATGTCAAATCGAAAAGAGACTGTGAATTTTCTACATAAATCTCGCGTAGTCAACAATGTTGCTCACAGGAAGGAGAAAGTTTTGTCATTATGAAATTAAAGGCTACGATAGCACCTTTTCGATGGTAACATCATTGTCACATACATATATGTACAGTTACATAAATAATACAATGTAATGGAACGCAAGAACATCTCAGATTTTGTAGAATCCCTTGAGGAGGATCTTCAAACCTCTACTGACATGTCTCTGTCATCGGTTCTCTTTAGATCTTTTATAAAGGAAAATTTTGCAAGACTTATTTTTACTTGTTAATATTTTCTAAGATTTTATTTGAAGACATCCTTGAACTAAAGGGGGAAAAAATTGTATGGTCATTACTTTCCAATTTGAATGAAAAAACAAATTTACTCGATGACAGACGTCAATTTATTGTAATAGAGAAAGATTTTAAATTAAAAATTCTTGATTTAAATATAAATGGCTATATTATATTCTTTTTTCCTTTGAACATTTTATTTAGAAGATGAAAATTGTATCCTCAAATGGTACATTGGGGTAAAGCTGATCGTGAATCTTTAGGGTAAAGCAGAGGGTCTTTCCGAATTTTTGATTTCATTGCACTTCTCTCTAAGTTTGAATTTGTAAAAATGTTTGCTAATTAAAATTAGTGACTGACTTTTTGCTTTTGAATTAGTAAATTCTACTAATAAATATTCGTTTCTATTAATTTAATAGTAAAATTAACTAATTCATAAGCAAACAGTCAGTCACTAATTTTAATTATTAAACATTTTCACTAATTCAAATTTAGAGTTTAGAAGTGAAAAATTTGAGTTAATTTAAAATCTAAATTATTAAATCAAAAGATTTTTGATAAGATTCTTCGCAAACATTCAATTTTTTTTAAAAGTGATACAATTTTCACAGGAATTGAATTATTCAAAATATTTCGTAAAATTTTTCGAAAAAATCAATTAAAAAACTTTTTATCTAAATTCTACTGAAAGAATTCAATTATTTTCACAAGCAATAACATTTTTCACTAGAATTCAATTATTTAAAAAAAATTAAATAAAATTCTTTGCAAAAATTCAATTATTTTCAAAAATAATAAAATTCTTCTGAGAAATTCAATTATTTTTTTAAAAATTGATAAATTCTTGAATTCTTTCTTCAATTCTTCACAATTTATTCAATTATTTTTCCAAATAATAAAAATTTTCATAAGAATTCTTCTCAGAAATTCAATTGTTTTTTAAAAAAATTTAATAAATTATTTCTTTAATTTTTCACAAATATTCAATTACTTTGCCAAATAATACAATTTTTCACGAGAATTCAATTATTAAAAAAAATTTTTTTTTAATTTTTCGCAAAAATT